TCTATAAATGCACGCTATGTATCATTCCTAACCTCGGGACTTAAAAGATAAATAAATGCACCCATGACTTTCACGTGATTTATTTGCTAAATAAATTCATGTTACATTAATTAATTATTCAAACATTATATATCTATTTATCATCTTTGTTACATATGCACACCTCTTTTTAATAATAATAATGGAGAATAAAGGGTTAAGTAAGTTACTGTTACTTATAAAGAATTAAATGAATATTTGTTAATTCTTTCTTTTAATTGACAAAGAGTTATATAATAATAATAATAAAATGCAAATGGAGAAATTTATAAAAAAGCAAGGATTAAACAAAGGATAAAGATCAAGAAATTTTTTTAATCTTTATGTGTAGTAACAGTAATGGAAAATAAAATAAAGAATTAATTAAATTATTTGTTCTTTACAAAAGATTAAGTATTCTTTCTTTTTTAATTGATGAAAAAAAAGTTATTAAAAAAAGAACGCGGAAAGTGATATAAAGGGTCTGATTCATTTCGTCGACAATCATTTCGTCTACAGTCATTTCGTCGACACCCATTTCGTCGACACCCATTTCGTCGAAAGTTTGTTTCATCGAATGCTTATTTCGTTGGATGTTCATTTCGTCGAATGTTCATTTCGTCACAAAAAAAAAACTTCATTAAACAAATTTCTCCTCACACTTCCTACACACTCTGCTTTCCTCACCTAATTTCTTAACTAACTTTCCACACTCCACACTCCTCACATCTAACTCTTTCGGTCTCTGGATCGAGGATGAAATAATTTTCGACGAAATGAACATTCGACGAAATGAACTTTCGATGAACAAACTTTCGACGAAATAGGTGTCAACAAAATGACTGTCGACGAAATGATTGTCGATGAAGTAAACGGACCGGGATATTTTATAGGCAAGAATTATTATAGCAAACCACAATGAATCAATTTTTTAGTCAACAATGAATTAATATATAATAATAATTAATAAAAATAAAAAATACAACAATAATTTTTATTTCCTCTATAAATGCATCCCTCCATAAATGCACGCTCTCATCCATTCCCAAGAGGGTACACTTATGGAGGATTCACTGTATACGGAAATATATGAAAAATAGAGGTTGGAATCGACTAAAATAGTCGACTAATTTAGTCAACTAATTAATCGACTATTTTAGTCAACTAATTTAGTCAACTAATTAATCGACTATTTTAGTCAACTAACTTTTTTTTAAAACAACTAATAGTCGACTATTTTAGTTGTTTATTTAGTCGACTAAATAGTTGACTACTTTAGTTGTTTATTTAGTCGACTATTTTAGTCGACTATTTAGTCGACTAATACTAATTATTATTTATTATTGTCTGGCCAATTATAAATGAAAACGTTTTTTGTGGTACAAAAAAATTTAAAAATAAAATAATGGAAAATAAATAAAAATAAATATGCGGAGTATCAATATTATGAATAAGATGATAATGGTAGTGTTGGTGCTGGTGTTGGCGATAATTATCCATGCGAAATAATAAACATTGATACAAGGTCAAATCATTCCAACAATTCGTTGGCTTCGAGCTCAAGCAGTGGTTCCAGACCTTTAAAAAAACGAATTATAACATATAGCTTCGTATGGAAGTATTTCGAGAAAATTAAAGATTCAAATGGAGATGAATTTGTAATCTGCAAGTTAATAATAATGAAACAGAATGAATATTCTAATTAAATAGGATGATATTCCTGTGACTAGTGTGTGACCATTTTGCGAAGCAAATGGTTACACGCTAGTATTAAAAAAATTTAGTCGACTAAAAGAAATTTTGACCAACTAGTAGTCGACTAAGGATTTTTTGGACGATTCCAACCTCTAATGAAAAACATACATTTTCTGAAAAAAATTTTATAGGGTAGAAGCAATATTACTTGAAAAATCACTTGGTCGTGGCAAGTATCCAAATTATACAATTAAACTCTTATCTAGTATGCTTATTTGAATAAACATGGCTAGTAGCTTTTTCTTGCGGTTCAATCACAAGCTATTAATATTACAACTTCGTAATTGACCTATATATCTCCCTTGGTGATTGTGTATTCAACGCTTTCATATGAACCGATTTTTACAGCAATATTTCCATGTTGACATAAATAAAAATGTTGTAGATGATGTGTAAAAGCCGGCCCATATGTCTATATTTTGTTTTTGATTTTTCGAAAGAGTGTGGGAAAATCAAGTCACGCGATCTTTATGATCGAATCACATGATTATACTGTATATTAAACAAAGGTAAAAATTACTTAATATGGTATGATATGCATGAAATTTTATTAATTTCAATTTATTACTATTATTATTATACCAAGATTACTCATTTTTGTATGTGAAGCAAAAAATTCGTTGCAACACATATTTAATTATAATTAATTTATTGAAACGAAAATTTTTTTTTAAATATCTCGCAGCTTAGGTCCTCAAAAATTATTTTTCTAATACTAATACTAAACTAATTTCGAATGGGTTTTAATATTAATATTGATATGTCAACACTATTAGTAATTTTTACGAATAATAATTTGAAATTAAAATTATAATTAAATTCGCGTTACAACGAATTTTTAAAAATTTTGCCTCACAAAAACATAAAATTCAATAAATGATTTTGGTATAATGACTTTATCATTTATTTTATTTATTATTCAATAATTTTGATTTTTTGTTTGACGTGAAAATTAATTGTTACTATGAAAATTAAATTAATTAAAATTTGTTGTACCTTGACTTGACTGGGTTTAAAACGACTATTCCGAAATTATGTAATGAGTAATCCTTGTTTCTCATAAATTAATCAAGTATTTTAAACTCGGGCGGGCATAAAACGGTTATTCCCCGAGTCATGTAAGAACCTCTCCTTACCGAGAGGGGCCGCCAAGGCTTATATGTTACCCACGGGATAACTAACCATTATACAAATTAAAATAATAAGATTATGTCTTCCTTACTGAGTAATAAAAATAAATAAAATAAATATTCGCCATGGTAAATGAAATAAGTATCAGCCGTGATGAACTTCAATAAAAAGAAAATCCTATTACTATAATTAGAATTTAGGGTGGGGTGTTCAGATATGAAATTTGATTGGTTAATTTGAATTTCAAATACGCGAATTGCAAATTCATTTTTCAAGTAATATACTGGTGGTGGTGTGATACAAATATATTTATAAACTTCACTTTGATAGATACGCTTGTGTGCATATTTATTAAATGTGCTATATATTTGAATATATAGATTAACCTGTTTATTTTTTTCATGTGTATGATGAGAATTAAAAGCAATAATACACTTATGGAGGATTCACTGTATACGGAAATATATGAAAAATAGAGGTTGGAATCGACTAAAATAGTCGACTAATTTAGTCAACTAATTAATCGACTATTTTAGTCAACTAATTTAGTCAACTAATTAATCGACTATTTTAGTCAACTAACTTTTTTTTAAAACAACTAATAGTCGACTATTTTAGTTGTTTATTTAGTCGACTAAATAGTTGACTACTTTAGTTGTTTATTTAGTCGACTATTTTAGTCGACTATTTAGTCGACTAATACTAATTATTATTTATTATTGTCTGGCCAATTATAAATGAAAACGTTTTTTGTGGTACAAAAAAATTTAAAAATAAAATAATGGAAAATAAATAAAAATAAATATGCGGAGTATCAATATTATGAATAAGATGATAATGGTAGTGTTGGTGCTGGTGTTGGCGATAATTATCCATGCGAAATAATAAACATTGATACAAGGTCAAATCATTCCAACAATTCGTTGGCTTCGAGCTCAAGCAGTGGTTCCAGACCTTTAAAAAAACGAATTATAACATATAGCTTCGTATGGAAGTATTTCGAGAAAATTAAAGATTCAAATGGAGATGAATTTGTAATCTGCAAATTAAAAAAAAACGTTAATAATAATGAAACAGAATGAATATTCTAATTAAATAGGATGTTATTCCCGTGATTAGTGTGTGACCATTTTGCGAAGCAAATGGTTACACGCTAGTATTAAAAAAATTTAGTTGACTAAAAGAAATTTTGACCAACTAGTAGTCGACTAAGGATTTTTTGGACGATTCCAACCTCTAGAATCAATTATTAATATTTATTTTACTTTTTAGGTGAATCTCATTACTCCAACAATAAAAGAGAAACATTGATAAGAATTTTTGATGTTTTTGAATCCAATTTAAAGGAAAATTTCAAGCATAAATCGGATTATTTAAAAAAAGCAATATAAAATTTTTTGGTATTTTTTGTAATTACTCAACACTACCATATAATTCTGGTTCTTACTTGTGCAATGATCGAATTGAACATAAAAAGTAAGTTTAATGCTTATTACTTTTATAGGTGAAAAAACTGTTCACTATGTTGGCTATCAATTTCAACACATTAACAGATCTTTATCATGATGCTAAGGATCTTGATAACGGTTTGTGTGTCATTTTACCCTTTGGTGAACTTGGAAGAGGCGATACTCTTTGGTTTTTTTAATCATAAGAGTTGCTTTCCTAACAATTGAGGAAAAAAAATTTTAATATTTGTAATTATCTTTTTTTATCTTATAGCTGTAAATTTTTTATCCTAATCAAAATTAGGTGATGTAAATATACATAAAAATTGTTCAAATAAAGAGATACAAACATGAAATTAAATAGATCAAGCTTTTATATTACAAATTTTTTTTTTATATATATAGCAAAGACATTGAAAAAAAAATTAGTAATAGATAAACTTTATAAACAAATGAGATGGGGCAAAAGGCTCTTTGTAACTTTATTATAGAAGACTTAAACAATAAAACCATAAAAGTTTCATTCAATTTTATTATGAAAAAAAAAAGTTATTAAAGTAGTAGGTTGTAATCTTTAAAGATTGCAACCTACTTACGTTAGACTGTTATCTACTTATGATTAGTGATGATAAGTTCATGTTTCTGTCGTCAGACCAAATATGATGGTGGCGAGCTTTCGCCATCAGGCTACATTCGAACATTCATATATCAGAAAGACAACCTGAGAAAATACAGTACAAAATGTTAAAATAAAATTAGCATGTAATTAATCAATTTTATATTTACATTGCGTCAAAGTCGAAATTACCCGAATTAATAATGCTTCTTCATTTTCAATAATTGTAGATTTTTTATCACGCCTTCTTGTTGTGGTATCGTCCTATGAGATAAAAAATGTTTTCCACATATCTAAAGGTTGGCCTACAAACTCCTAAATTGCGACCAATTATGACAATTGGAAATGGATGTCTAAATATATTTATGATATTAACGACACATCAAAAAACAAATCAAACCTTATAAGAGCCGTAATAAACGAGACTTTTTTCTTGACCCTTGTGATCAAAAATCATAAAGATCAATCTAACAAGGTATTCCTGGACAAATTAATCAATAAAAAATAATATTTTTTTTAATAATAAATTATCATACCAGAATTGTTTCCCGGATGTTATTTTGGTTATCATAAAATTTAGAAAGTTCCAACACCTTTGAATATTATCACTGAAATAAGATATTCCTTAATAAACTATACTTTCTATATATATTTTTTTGCTTTATATATGCCATGTATATTATTTTCTAATAAAGATAATAAAAACCGAAGTTAGAAAATACTATAGTGCAGGACATCTATAACGGTCAATGATTATCACATGATTTTAAAAGCTTATAACTCCTTATTAAAAAAATTA